GGGCGTGCGTGCGTGCGTGCGTGCGTGTGTGTGTGTGTGTGTGTGTGTGTGATATTACGTGACTTTTAATCATTTAGCATTGATCACAAACTTAAAAAGAAATGAAAATTAGAATCGAAATAAATGAACCGTACAATATTAAATAAAGATTATAACATATATTTGAACAAAATCAAAGATTCGAAACGAAGTACATTTAGAATGTCATTGGCATGTTCTAAATAAAGAAATAACGAAGTACATACTTGTCATACGTGTAAATTTTGCGCTAATTTAAACGAATTGTGAATCTTGTTCTCTGTGCAATAAATTTGGTCGACACAAGTAAAAAATGTCATACCGCCAACCACAATGTGTCTAACAAATACTTTGGTTACGTTAACCTAAACGAATTTATGAATTTTGTTCTCTTTACAATAAATTTGGTTGACACAAATAAAAAATGTCATACTGCCAACCATAACGTGTCTACCAAATACTTTGGCTGCAATTAAAAAAATAATTTTTTCTGTGTATAAGAAAGAATATAAAATAAAATATAGCAATATGTGTGTGTGCGTGTGTGTGTAAAAGTACATGCGTAAAGAATTGAACATAAAGAAATCCTGCAATGATAAACTTGTCGGTAAAAACAAAAAGCGCCGATAGAAAAAAATAGAAGAAAAGTATGTTCTCTTATCAATACATATATATTTATTTCTTATTTGTTATTAACATTTAAAGGACGGGGGATCTATTTTAAAAATCTCACAGCTTTCCCTTGAATAAGATATATTATAATTCATTGTATTCCTTAATTATACTACAAAATATAATACTACTTCAGCACTATAGTGGTTTCTTGTCCTGTAAAAATAAAAATAAAAAGTCAAGGTCATTATCTTACTCCTCGCTTGAAACCATATAACTTTGATATTGGACATTTTCTCCAAAATGTATTCTAACTGAAGATATTAGGGGTACGATACTTTTCGATGACCCTGTATATATAAGAATTAATAAAAGAGTAATGGCACTAGGAGTCGGACGCAGAAGACGTCGCGCAAACAATACACTTATAAAGAGTGAAACTTCTTTATTCACTAAACGCGCTTACATGTTTCGACTCATTTTTTAGCCTTCCTCAGAGCAAACACACATTAACATATATAAAGTAAAAGTTATCCTGTCATGGTGAGCTCCCCTACATCGAGAATTTAAATGCCAGAATTAAATAAAAAGAAAGAAAAGAAAATGAAAAAGAAGGGAAATATTAAAAATATCAAATTAAAGAATATAGAAACTAATTTATCAAAAAACTTTAATAATATATTGTTTAATAATATAATTAATTATCCCGAAAATAGGGACGCTTAACACAATTACAAAGTACCGTATCGCAAACATTATCATGAATAATTCAAGAACCGGTTCCTGATATGTTGGCCAGTCGGTATCAGACACAGTGAGTCACTTTTTTAGTTATTAGCTAGTATCAGGGTTGGTAAAGACTAATGTTTTTTTTTAAGAATAAAACATATTATGTTTCTTCTTGAATACGTTTTTAATGCTTCAAATATGCTTTGAACAGTACTATAAAAAAAACATATGTAAAACATATTAAAAACATCAATTAAGCATGTTTTAAACTGTTTAAAACACGTTTAAAACGTTTTTTTTACCAACCCTGGCTAGTACCATGGTATAAAGACAAGGGTATGCTCTTGCGCATATTTCAGAAAGGGCCAATCAGGGACTTTGTGCAAGCTTACGTCACATTGAGCGGAAAATTTAAACAGTGTGACTGTAGACGCGTTTCATTTAACGTTTGCAACGCTCGCGAGCATAGGTGCGTTCAGAAATTATGCTCAGATAACTCTTGGGTGCATTTTTGCTATAATATAGGGTAAGTGCGGGTAATACACCAGTGTGGGGAATATGCCACACGTTTTGTTTTACAATGATACCGATTAGCAGCGCTTGCGTTAATGACACAGAATTATGTACAATTGTGTGCTTAACGTGTTGCATAAGTATCAAGAATTTTCTCGCAACAGTATTATTTTTATGAGGTAAATACAATGTAACACAGTGAATCATTACATCCTTATTGTTTGCTTGTTAAACAAGGATGAAACGATTTTCTGTGTTACACAGTATATATATTTATGTACGCACACACACACATATATATATATGTACGTATGTATGTGTGTTTTATTTATGTACGTAAGTATGTATATATTTATGTATGTATGTAATTATATGTATGTACGTATTAATGTATATACATATATATGTATATACATATGTATATACATATTTATGTATTGTAATGTAATGTAATGTACTGTCTGTAAATGTGTTATAGCGGACATAAGGAACTTAAAGAAAAATGTAGATAAAAAATAACAGCAAATGTAGATATTTAAGAGACAGGTTTTTTTATTACTAAATTTAAATGGTTACAATTGTTTATAATTATTTAAGAGACAGACTTTGTATTGGTATATTTTGATATCTTTTTTTGTTTTCGCCTATGATTTTTAGATGCGATCGTTCGGTTTATTTCGCGCACCCTAATGTACGTTCTGGTTCTAATAAGGCATAGTAAAACCTCTTCCGATATTTTAATTTTCAATTTTGGTTGTATTATTTTTGCTAATGTTTGAAATATAAAATTTTCTTTGTTCAAACTAGATCCGTGATACTTATCAAATTCAATATTCATTATATGCGCACATTGTAATAATTTGTCACTCGGATACATACATTTCCCTCGCGAAATAAATTGCAACCAATCTGAATCATACGTTGTTTCTAGTTGGCGCGTTTCAATACCCAATGTCTTGTCTTTACTTTTAAATCTGAACGCTACGTATCCGGCTATATATTTTAAACCCTCTTCATTGATAATTTCATGAACGTTGAAATCCTCTAATGCTTGTAACAACTGTTCTTCGTCACTTGAAATAATCGCGCACGGATCTAATGTTATACAATTTTCATATGAAGCTTCGCCAATACACAATTCTTCTTCTTCATAACTGTAAGTTACAGTAGTGTTTTCTTCTTCAACATAGGATGAAAGTATATCCGTTAACATAGAATCATCGATATCGCAGTTAAGAGGAGATACAAAAATAGGTTCATTCGATTTGTTTTCTTGAACATTACATTCATTTGACAGTGCATATCTAGAATGTTTGCCCAATATATATCGTTTTAATCGGTATTTAAAATCTAAGGGTGTTGGGTGATCGTTCGCACACCCTATTGAACGTAAGAATGAGAACAAATTTTCTAACAAATCTTGATTAAGACGGTAAGTTATTAAATAAGTGATGGGAAAATCGGATGTACTGTATTGTTCTTGTAAGTATAATAATAGTTGTTGTAAAGAAGCGATACTGACTAAGATGCCTTTTTGAAAAGGTAATAAAGTTTTATGCTTTCCTATCCGAGTTTCGTTAATGAAAGACATCATGTTGTTTAAAATCACATTCTGTTCTTCAATATTTATACCGTACGCATTTTTTCCTGTATGTTTACCGTACTTACATTTTGCATTAAAAACATCGAACCAGTCATTACACAATCTGATAACATACGCTGCTTCCTGATATGGTAAATCCAAAAGGTAACTTTTACGGCCGCACCATTCTATCGCAGAAGCTATCGTGTTGGATAAGACTTGCGCAGCAGGAAGAACCTTCTGTCTTTCGGAACCTTGTACATTTAAGTGATACGTAGTGATTTTATGGCTAATTTTTAAATCTCCTGCATTAATGGAAAGCAACTTAAACAATATTTCCTTATCAACTATTTTCCCCTTCCAGATAAACCCTTTGTCCAGAAAATGATTCCTCAACAACTTGAGAAGATGCGGAGCATCTGCAAAAACAAATACTTTTAAGTCATTGCGTGCGGGATGTTGAAAATAAGACTTTTGGGGATGCATTCCTATTTCCAATTGTGACCATAATTTAAGATTGCCCGGGCCCAAGTCACTAGTTATAGCAACCACTATATAACCAGCATCATGCAATTTTAAAATAATATTGTTGAGAGTCGTCGCATCCATTGTTTTATCAAATTCGTAATAAACAAGTTGTTTCCAAGATGCAAAAAGGCTTCTTACCATTACACACTGGCAAGTTTTATGAGGACCAATAACCTTTTCTAACTTACGATCTATCGCAATTTTGTCGTTAATATAAATTTCGTCAAACGTTAACACAACTAGTCTTTCAATATCAAGCATGCTCTTTTTTCTTGCAATCATGCAATGGAGTACAGAGAAGAGTATACCCGGTTCAACATCGATTGTACTTGCCCACCTTCTTAATGTTGAAAGGCCTGGAAGTGGTATTTGCAGAACATGCTTCATATAACGATATGCCTTTGGGCTGACACATCGCAAGGATATCGCGTGTGTGATATCTTCGGAAGACCATTTCATCTTACATAGTGAGGGATTCAATATCATCCGTATTTGTCCTTGACTGAATATTTTTCCCAGTAACTCGTACATTTTTCTTTCCACGAGTTCTTTGTCTTCTTTCGGTCTCGCTTTCTCGTACTTCTTTATCGTCTTTTTCAGTGCAGTCACCTGGAGTTCCAGATCGTGTCTGAAAGTGTAAATAATAAGTGTATATGTGTATAATAATAAGTGTATAATAATAAGTGTATAATAATATGTGTATATTATAAGTGTATAATAATAAGTGTTTATAATCGCATTGTAAGTTCGATGGTGTTCGGCATGTAGTTTAAAGAACTAAAAAGATGGATGTAAAAAAATATTATAAGTAACAAGGCTCAAGAAAAATAAAT